TATTGTGAATTATATGATAGTTTACATGGGAGAACATTAGTTTTACATTCATTCTATCGTATATCATTTCATTGCTGTGGTTCCAATCCCCTCCATGCATCATTAACCAACCAAAGGGTATACACTGCAAGCCTGCCCCCTATACTACTCCTCCCCCCCCAGTCTTCAGCACATAGTCACTCTCCCTCTCTGGATCTAAAGTCTCCAGCTGCTCCATCGCTCCACGTCATCATCTTTGCCTCCAGCTCAGGCATTGCTGCTTCTCTGGGTAGGGTCCCGCTCTGGGCTGTTCTCCGTTGATGGTCCTAGGGACCTCTGCTCCTAGACTGGAAAGTAATCACTCCCTTCCTTGCTATAAAACATCTTTACATTTCCAACCCTCACAATCAGTCCTGATAACAATTATTCACTATTGTATCACAAGAGACCCATCTGTATTTCATTTCATCAGCTCTGCCCAGACAGATTGGATAGTACTCACTTTGCCTTCCTCCATGCCCCCTGGCTCTAGGTTCCCTCTTTTTTTTTTTTTTTCTAGGTTCCCTCTTGAAAGCTTGTAAGCCAGTCACTTCTTGCCTTTGTAGCCCCACCCCCCCGTTTTGGGTAGCCAATGTCCAAGTTGCCCATCCCTGTCTACTTTGTGTGTGGAGGGGGTGGGAATGGTTCTTGCTGTAAGGATTTGTTCCTTCTTTTGAGTAACTGCATCCATAAGTGTAGGTCAAGTTCGTCAAATTGTATCAGATTACTCTTTTTTCCTCTTCTTTCTTCTTCTGGTTGAGCTCTGATCATCCAGTCATTGAAGTCAGGTCAAGTGGTTATTATCTTCATCAAAGACTTTGTTTTGCTTGGATCCACTTTCAACACTTATAGAAACATCAGTCAAGAAATCATACCATGTATTGCACTAGGCAAGTCTACAGCACAAGATTTCTTTAAAGTCTTCCAGAATAGTTTGAGGACTAAGGTGTGCCTGACTCAAGCCATGGTGTTTTAAATAGCCTCATATGTATGTGAAAGTTGGGCAATGAGTAAGGAAGACTGTAGAAGAATTGATGCATTTGAGTTATGGTGTTGGAGGAGAATATTGAAAATACCATGGGATGCCAGAAGAACAAACAAATCTGTGTTGGACAAAATATAGGCAGAATGTTCCTTGGAAGCCAGAATGGCCAGACTTTTTCTCTTATACTTCAGACATATTATCAGGAGAGACCAGTCCTTGGAGAAGGACATCATGTTGGTAAAGTCGAGGGTCAGAGAAAAAGAGGAAGACTCCCCAATGAGATGTGTTGACACAGTGGCAGCAGCAATGGACTCACGCATAACGATGGTTGTGAGGATGGTGCAGGACCAGGCAGTGTTTTGTTCTGTTGTGCATAGGGTCATTATGATGTGGAACCAACTTGATGCCGCCTAACAACAACATAGCTCCCCTTGCCTATGCTCATGCAATACCAGAGATGCCCTCTCCTTACAAATGTAACCCCACCAAAGTTTGTAGCCAGCCAAAGGGAGGGCTGGGATGGAATAAGGGGATGAGAAGAGGAGGAAGAGGGGCAGCAAGTCTCTTGGATTTCCATCCCATAGGCCTCTATCCAATATCTACTCTCATCCTGGAAAGCCCAAGTCATCCTTTGAGGGGACTTGCTCAGCAACCATGGGGACAGCTGTGCCTTACAGTCACCTACCTGTGTGCCCTACACACTCTCTCATACACCCCAGTGAGTGTGCACACATGCAGGCCAGATTCACACTCATACACATGTATTAGGCCCTTTAGCATCTTCAGGGAAGTTCACATGAGGGCAGACAGAGAAATGTTGGTGCTCAGCGTCCAGCTGGCCAGACTACCAGTTGACTATCTGGGTCTAGAAACTGAATAGGCAGAAAAATGGGAAGCTCAAGAGAGCATTGGTTCAGGTTGAGGATAGACACTTGGATCCAGTTGTCAACACATTATTGTAGTAGTAGTTGTTGCTGTTGTTAAGTGCCACCGAGTCAGTTCCGACTCACAGCGACTCTGTAGAGGGTTTTGAGGAGCAATTAGTGGGTTTGAACTGCTGACCTTGTGGCTTGCAGTCCAGTGCTGAGTCTACAGGACCACACCAGTCAAATCAGCTCCAACTTATAATGACCTGATGTACAACAGAACGAAACGTTGCATGGTTCTGCACCATGTTCATGAATGTTGGTGTATATTAGTCATTTTCCCCCCTTTATATCTTTCCTTTCTTTTATCTCCCCTCCCCCACTACTTCTTTCCTTCCCTTGTTTCATTTGTGGGAAAGTTTACAATGGTTTGTCCTAATGAGAAAATAAACACACCTTTGAAACTCTTGCAAGAGTGTAGGTGGAATGAGAGGATGCTTGCTGTCTGGCTGTAACCCTCCTTCACACCTGCACACAGGCCCTTCTGAGTCCTAATTAGATTCATGTGCTACTTGTCAATTCCAATCCCTGACTGCAAGACCAAAGACAAACTTGGGCTCAGCGCAAGTCAGCTATGCACAAGTTTCTCCAGGGTCTCAGTGGGGACAGCTGGGCTCCAAGTTCTGAGGGAAATTAGTTGATGGGAAAGTGGGGCCCTGAGAGTGAGCAGGAAGAGCATGGAGGACTTGCTTCTGAGATACTGGAAGATAGGCTAATAGGAAAGAGAAATCAGGCATCCACAGTCTGTGTGAGACAATCAATCAACACAGGAAGAACTCAAGCATCAGAAAATATTTATTAAACTAAAGTCTATAAAAGCCAAGATAGGAAGACCCCAACAAATCTCAAGTAACATCTCCTGCAGTCCCTTAACCCCAACTAATGAGAAAACTGAGGCTCAGATAGGCTGTGTATCTTGACTCCAGCTGGTTGATCTCCATGTCATACAACAAGGTTCCTTGGTATGTTTCTGTCATCTGGTTTCACTTTTTTTTTGCTCTAATCAATGACTGTTTCAACACATCATTTAGAGTTTCTTTGAATCTTCATTGGTCCTTCCATGCACTGTGGTTCCAAAGGGAGCTGATGTTCTAGCATCTATTGTCACCATCATTACCACCACCACCACCACCACCACCACCATGATGATCAAGAAGTCACTGTGTGACTGAGACAAACATACTGAAAGACAAAGGTGAGTCAATACTGGAGGTAGGGCTGGAGACCACAATCTGGAAAACATCCAACATGGGAAGGGTCGTAAGTGCAGCTTCTGTTACTTCTCTCATTATCTAACCATCCTAACTCTGGTTTTCTCCTATTGCCAATGCTTTCATTTTCTCTTTAATTTTCAGACTCCTGGTGTGGTATAGTAGGATCAACACTGGACTGTGAGCCATAAGGCCAGCAGTTCAAACCCACCAGCTGCTCCTTAGAAACCCTATACAGGGCCGCTGTGAGTCAGAACTGATTGGATAGCACTTAACAGCAACAATTTTCTCATTGTTTGTTCCTGTATATCTCCCTCTCCATTCAGGCTCCCACTGTCTACTTTAATCTCAAATAAACTGTTTTTTATCCTCACTTTTTAGTCCCTTCTCTTCTATTTCAGGGTCCATCTTTCCAACTTTATCTGTTTAACACTTAAAAATTCATTTTTGTTAGAATATGCACCAATTCCACAGTTTCTACATGTATAATTCAATGACACTCGTTCCATCCTTTGAGTACTGGTCATTCTCACCCTCCTTTTTGAGCTGTTCCTCCCCACTAGCATAAACTCACTGACCCCTAAGTACTTGGAGTTGCTGTTGTCAATCTGATCTCAAATAGATAGTTCTTGGAAGAACATAATGCTCAAGGCAGACAGCCTTCAGGATATATTTTTTATTTAGGGTTTAAAGATGATCTCAGAGAAATATTTTTGCTCATTTATCCAGCGTCCATGGCTCCATTTTTTGCCTTGATTTGATTCCACATGCTATATGTATTAACTCTTCCCTTGTGGTGCTCAGCTACAGAAATGCCTAAATCCTTAATTTTCAACTACATAAGCTCAATCTCCCTTCTTCCCCCCCTTAAATAAAATGCTCCAAACTACCAATAGTCTTCCCTGCTCCCTACTTCTGACGGAAGAATCTGATGGATCTGGGTCAGTATCTCTAACACCTTCTCCAGTTCCTGAGCCTGCTGCCTCAGTTCCTCAGCTGACTCCTCCTTTGCCCCTTCATGTAAGTGCTTTGACTGTTCCACGAGGTTGACCACATCCTTCATAATGAAGATGCCTGTGGTAGCCATACCCATGATCCGGGCTGCTTTGGTCATTGCCAGAGCAGTGCCTCCAAAGGCTTTCTGCATTTGCCTACCACTCCGGACTGATATGTTTCCACCAGTCATGAGACGCCTGGAATTGGCTGCTAAACGAGGGCTGACTTTAGCCAGCTTGGTGGCTTGGATGCTCTTCTCTATTTGTTTCGAGGCTTGGATACATTTATTTGCAGTGGAAATAAGTTTGGGTGTGTTCTCACTCACAACTTTCTCAACCTCTACCTTGATGTTAATGTCAGTGGATAGCAGTTTGCTGGCTTCAGATTTTGCTGATAACTTGCTTGATTCTTCCACGATGCTGGTAGAAACGCTGGTGACAGTAGCTGCTGCTCTCAGCCCCACCCCAGTTGCCATGAGCCCCAGACTAACCCCTGCTGTCATAGGAGCTAGCGCTAGGCTAGCAATGGTCAGGACGCCAGAGATGATACCAGCAGAGGTGGACGCTATGTTGGAGATGGTGCAGTCCCTGTGTATCTTGTCAACCTTATCTGCAAGTTGATGAAGTTTTCTTATGCGTTCCTCAAGCTTCATTTTCACCTCAGGAAAGTCATTGAAAAACCTCTCTCTGTTTAGCTGTTCAGTTTGAAGCATGTCTTCATCTTCATCGTCTATGGCCATGTCTGTGCTAAGATTGTTCAGAGTTTCATACAGTGCATCTGCCTCATTCCTGTAACAGCAAAGATCAAGCAATTAAGAAAGATAGTTTTTTAAAACTATGAAATGGACTTGATAAGATACATCCCCCAGAAATCATAGAGCGATTACTATAAATCAAATGAAAAAGAAGTCTACAAAGGTAAAGACACTTCCTTTCAATGTTAACACATATTTTGTACATTGCAGATACTCCATAGTACTTATTCAGTAGGGGACTCATTGAGTAAAAATCATCGTAAGATGCTCTTTCATGGTATGTAAAGATATTTTCTCACTCAGCGGTAAGTCAGTCTAATTGAGAAAGGGTCAATCCAAGAGCAGCCTGCTAGTTTTCTATGAGATCCAATGAATGAACCTTGTGGTTAAGACTCGATGTGTCAGTCAGTCTTTTTGGACAAGATGAATGTGTGGGCTGATTCCTTTTTCTTGGTTGTTTTAATTTAAACACATCCCATAACAGATAGTGACTTATCAACACATCCCTCACGTTTTGCCCTAAGCTCATATTAACAATCCCCAAGGAGAGTTTAGCTAAGTGTGCATTATATGACACCTGGCTAACTCTACAGGTATATCTGTTCCCTGTTGGGTAAGGAATGACTTCCTTCTCTGTGTCACAAGAGGGGTGCATGCAGACCATCTCCTGTGTCAGCTAAGGAGTGAGACCCTATTTGTCCCATGGGATCAGTATCTATTATTAGAAATGAACTTGCTCTGTCCCCTCGCTATGTGAATAACAAGTTGCTCCATCCAGTGTTTGTGTGTGAATCATGATTTTGCTGATGTCCCCAACACCAGATAGCACTCGCTCAACCAAAGGGTCTGTATAATGGGAACTACTGAAGTGTTTGTATAGTGGGAACTACTGAAGTGTTTGTATAGTGGGAACTACTGAAGAAGTTTTGGTACAGTAGGAACTCCACAGATGAACAAAGAAAAGTACAACTGAAACAGAAAAATTTGCATTCAGAGACTCTTCGAATAAAAAATAAACACAATCTAGAAGAGCTCTTTAACCCTAGAATCTGCTCTTTTCCAGTGCCTGGAGCCCTTGATCTTCCTGCCTGAGGTCTCTGGGTCCAGCCATTACCCTAAATAGCTGGGAAGCAGGAGCCTGAGCCTCAAACCCTGGCTACAATTTAACACTGTACCCCACCTCTACTGGATCTTGACACACCAGTCATCAATCTTCAAGTTCTTACTCTTAGATGACACCAGCCTAACTCACACATTAGTCAACAACATGAGCAGTTTTATGGGTCCTCTTAAAACTCTCACCTCTCGTCTGTCAGTTTGTTGTACTGTGGTGGTTTGTGTGTTGCTGTGATGTGAGAAATTATGCCTCTGGTATTATAAAAACCAGCAGAACCATCCATGGTGGATAGGTTTCAGCTGAGCTTCCACACCAAGGCAAATTAGGAAGAAGGAGAGGTGGACTACTTTGGAATGTTTAGCCACTGAAAGCCTCATGACTAGCAGCAGTACACTGTCAGAGATAGTGCCAGAGGATGAGTTCTTTCCATAGTTTGGAACTAAAAATATGACTGGCTGTTTTCTCCAAGTATGGTTGACCATGACAGTATGAATGGCGCAAAGATTTCAGGACATCCATTTGTTGATGGAGTACAACTCAAATGAGAAAAAATGACTGAAAACATCCATAAAGAACTGGAACCTGCAAAGTACAAAGTATGAATCTAGGAAAATTGGAAGTTGTCAAAAATGAAATAGGATGCATAAAGATTGATGGCCTAGGTGTTAATGAGTTGAAACGACTGCTATTGGCCATTTTTAATCTGGAAATCATATGATTTACTATGCTGGGAATTTACTATGCTGGGAATGACAAATTCAAGAGGAATGGTGTCAAATTCATCATCAAAAATAACATTTCAAGATCTGTCTTGAAGTACAAAGCTGTCTGTGATAAGATAATATCCATATGCCTACAGTGCTGTGGGTTAATGTGCTGGACTTCAAAGTTGGTTTGAACCTCAAAATTGGCTGTTCATGCTCACCAGTCACTCCTCAGGAATCAGGGACAGGCTCAACGACATTTAACAACAACAAGGGAGTATGGTGGCTCCGTATGATAAGGGCTAGACTTCTAACTACACACAGTTTGAGCTCACCAACCACTCTACAGGCAAAAGAAAAGGCTTTCTGCTCCTGCAAAGATGCTATAAAAAAAAAAAAGCCTTGGGAACCCTATATAGATTACAACGAATTGGAAACAACTCAAAGGCACTTAATAACAAGGGAGACCAGTAAATACAACTATTATTAAAATTAATGCATCAACCACTAAAGCCAATGATGATGAAATTGAAGAAAATACCAACTTCTTCAGTCTGAAATTGAACAAATATGTAATTAATATACAATGACAATTACTGGTGATTGTCATGTGAATGTTGGAAACAGAGGAAGGAACAGTAGATGGAAAATATGGTGTTGGTGATAGGAATAATGCCAGAGATCGCATGATAAAATCTTGCAAGGCCAATGACTTATTCACTGAAAACACTTTTTTATAACAGCATAAAAGGTGACTAATGGATCTCACCAGATGGAATATACTGCAATCAAACTAAATACATCTGTGGGAAAAGATGGTAGAAAAGCACAATATTATCAACTAAAACAAAACCAGGGACCGATGTGGATCAGACCATCAGTTGCTCACATGTAAGTTCAGGCTCAAGCTAAAGAAAATGAAAACAAGTCCACGAGAGTCAAAATATGACCTTGAACATACGCCACTTGAATTTAGAGACCAGCTCGAGAATAGATTTGATGACTTAGACACTGATGACTGCAAAACAGAAGCATTGTGGGATGATGCCAAGAACATCATACAGGAAGAAAACAAAAAGTCATTAAGAATACAAGAAAGAAATAAACTATCAAAATGAGTGTTCATTGAGACTCTGAAGATTGCTCTCTAGCATAGAGATGCAAAAGCGCAAGGCAACAATTGAGGAAGTAAAAAAACTGAGGACAAAATTTCAAAAGGCAGATAGATAAGAAAAAATCTAGTACTATAATGAAATGTGCAAAGACCTAGAATTAGAAAATTAAGAGAAGAACACACTTGGCATTTCTCAAGCTTAAAGAATTGAAGAAATAATTCAAACCTTGACTTGCAATACTGAAGGATACTATGGTAAAATATTGAAGGATGTAGAAAATATCAAAGGAATATGGAAGGAATACAGAGAATCATGGTACCAAAAAGGAACGGTTTATAGTCAACCATTTCAAGATGTAGTATATGACCAAGAACCAATTGCACTGATGGAAGAAGTCCAAGCTACACTGGATGAATTCATGAAGAACAAGGCTCCAGGAATTTAAAGAATACAAATTAAAATCTTTCCACAAAGAGATGCAGCATTGGACATGTTCATTCATCTATGTTAAGAAATTTGGAAGACAGCTCTCTGACCAAGGAATTAGAACAAATCTATATTTGTGTACATATAAAGATATATTATTGTCTTGAGTGCTGTTGAGTAGGTTCTGACCCCATAAAGACCCTGTATAGGGTTTCTGAGGAATGACTCATAAGCTTGAATCTCTAACTTAGAGGTTCAAACAGACTTTGCAGTCCAGTGCATTAACCCATGGTGCCACACCAGAACTCCCCAGAAATCATCAAACTATATAATTAATATCACATGCAAATAATATTTTGCTGAAGATAATTAAAAATGGCTTCAGAAGTATATAGACAGAGAACTACTAGAAGTTCAAGCTGGATTCAGAAGAGGACGTGGAACTAGGGATATCATTGCTGACATCAGATTGGTCTTGACTGAAAGCAGAGAATATTAGAAAGTTGTTTATTTGTGCTTTATTGACTATGCAAAGGCTTCCAACTGTGTGGATCATGACAAATTATGTATAACATTATGATGAATAGAGGTTCCAGAACACTTAATTGTGTGCATGAAGAACATGTGCATAGTCTAAGAAGCAGTTGTTTGAACAGAACAAGGGGATAACCTGGAGAGATGTGCACCAAGGTTGTCTTCTTTCACCATACTTGTTCAGTTTGGATGCTGAGCAAATAATTTGAGAATTATATGAAGAAGAATGTACATCAGGATTTAAAAAAAAGTCATTAACAACCTGAAATATGCAGTTGATCCAATCTTGCTTTCTGGAAGTGAAGTGGACTTAAAATACTGATGAACATTAAAGACCTTCAGAATGGATTGCCTCTCAGTGTAAAGAAAGCAGAATCTCTCACAATTAGACCAATAAATAACATCATGATAAACAGAGAAAAGGTTGAAGTTGTCAAAGACTTCATTTTGCTTGGATCCACAATCAACACACATGGAAGCAGCAGCCAAGAACTCAAATGATGTATTGCATTAGGCAAATCTGCTTCCAAAGACCCTTTCAAAGTGTTCAAGAGCAAGATATCAGTTTGAGGACTAAGGTTCACTTGACCCAAACCATCATATTTTTATATGCATTCGAAAGTTGGTCAATGAATAAGGAAGACTGGAGAAGAATTGATGCATTTGAGTTATGGGGTTGGAGAAGAATATTAAAAGTACCATGGACTGTCAGAAGAACGAACAAATATATGTTTGGTACAGCCAGGATGGTCCTTAGAAGCCACGATGGCAAGACTTCATTTCTCATACTTCAGACATATTAGGAGGGACCAGTCCCTGCAGAGGGATATTAAGGTTGTAAAGTGAAGGGTCAGTGAAAAAGAGGAAGACTCCAAAGAGATGGATTGACATAGTTGAAGCAGCAGTGGGCTAAACATAAAAACAATGATGAAGCTAGTGCAGAACTGGGCAGTGTTTCATTCTGTTGTGTACAGTGTTACTATGAGTCAGAACTGACTTAATGACACCTAGCAACAACAACTAACAGCTCCGTAGACTTGAAGAACTAAATATGTGAATTGCTAAGTCTGAAACATGATGAGTAGCACCAGAATATTGTCAGATATCATGCCAGAAAATGAGCCCATCAGGTTGGAAGGCACTCAAAATACGACTGGGGAAGATCTGCCTCCTCAAAGAAGAGTTGACTGTGATGATATGAATGGAGTAAAGCTTTCAGGACCTTCATTTGCTGATGGGGCACAACTCAAAATGAGGAGAAACAGCTGTAAGCACTCATTAATAATCAGAACATGAAATGTATGCAGTATGAATTTAGGAAAATTGGAAGTTGTTGAAAATGAAATGGAACACATCAACATTGATATCCTGGGCACTAATGAGCTAAAATGGATTGGTTTTGGCCATTAATCCAAGGAGAACGTGGCATTAGAATTGAACGAAGACTCATTAATAACCTGTGATATGCAGATGATACGACCTTGCTTGCAGGAAGTGAAGAAGACTTAAAATATTTACTGATGAAGATCAAAGACCTTAAGTATGGGTTGCATGTCATTGTAAAGAAAACAAAAATCCTCATCACTGGACCAATAAATAACATCAAGATAAATGGAAAAAAGATTGAAGCTTTCAAAGACTTCATTTTGCTTGAATCTACCATCTACACTCATGGAAACAGCAGATAAGAAATCAAACGACATATTGTAGTAGACAAATCTGCACAAGACCTCTTTAAAGTGTTTCAGTGCAAAGACGTCAGTTTGAGGACTGAGGTGCTTCTGACCCAAGCCAATATATTTTCAATAGCCTCATATGCTTGTGAAAGTTGGACCACAAACAAGGAAGACTGTAGAAGAATTGATGTATTTGAGTTATGGTGTTGGAGAAGATTATTAAAAGCACTATGGACTGCTAGAGGAACAAATGCAATTGTGTTGAAAAGATTACTA